TGATTAAACTTAAGAGTTCACTTAGCTCCTAAGATTCAAAATGTATAACTTCCCAAATGTAAAGCATCTCAGGATTTTTAAAAAATTTTATTTCCATTTGGAATTCCCTACAGTTAGGGTCCTTAAACTCAGATCCATGGACAAGTTTTCTAGGAATTATTTTCATGTATAAAGGTGACCGTACAGTTGTCTCAGTCTCATGCTGAAATTCGGTTTTCAAGGGTAGTTAATGAATCAAAAATCAATACTTTTCAAGTAGATAGAGATTTAGGAAAACCCAATTAACAAAACGACAAAATTTTATTAATATTAGCAAAAGAATCTCTATTTTAAAAGCATTCAACTAAGGTTTCTATAAATTTCAAACTTACCTAGTATAATTTAAATATGATTCCAGTTTTTAAATTTGATTTGTGTGTTATTTTCAAGAGCATTCTTCTCCAAGTACAGACCACACAACTTATCTCTACTGTTGTTTTCTTTTGAACAGCTAAATCCAATTAGAAAAAAGCAACCCTTTTTATTCAGAAGATATGTACTCTTACTTAAATTAGAAGGTATTTGTACTTGCTATAATCTAAATTTCCTCAACTTTCCCACTCTATTAAAATTCTGTTCATGAACATTTTAAAAACTCACATTTGCAAATCTTCCATACAGTTCAAAAACCTCCAAATGTGTGGAAACAGCATTTGCCAATTCAAATGTATACTGTTCTATCAAGCTCTGATACTTGGAGACATCTCCACATTTTTTTAATCTTTCATTTTCCTTTCCTTTAGATCTAGAAGAGAAATATTCCCAAAAGAAGTCAGAAGAGCATAACTCATCTGAATGTTTTAAACTGACTCTGTATCTCAAATTTCTTTTAAGAGTAACACCAGAGCATATTACTTGATTTGTTTTCATAATTAAATCATTTGCAATAGAGCAACTATTTTAACTTCAATCAAAAGAAGTTAAATCAATGGTCAAAACCAGTGTGATTTTACCACTTTTCTTAAGAGCAATACTTAGAATGATCAGATACTTTAATATTTGCAAGAGTGTTTTGTAAACTATAAAACTGCAGAGAAAGATTTTATTATCACTCCGAAAAGATGGATTATAGTTTGCTGCAATGACATAATTTTCGTTTTATACTCCAGGCCATTCTCAGTGTAAGGCTAAAGCTACATTTAAAAATGCACACACTGGAGTCTTCCCATCCCCAAAGATTTATTTTTCAATTTCCCCCTTCGCTTGCCTTACCTCCGTGCTTTCTAATTACGAATTATCGTGTATAATTTGAGGCAAGTTTGAACATTATTTTACCTGATCCTTAAAATAATCCTGTAAGTAAATGCCAGTCACACGGCCTCCATTTTACAAATGAGCCAAGGAGGTTCGGGACTTACCAGAGTTGACGAGGTCAGAGAGTGAGAGCCTGAATGTGAACCTGCCCCTTCCGTCTTTAGAGTCCACTCAGTGTCTCCAATGTCACTTTAACTCTGACCCGTCCTTTCTACAAACATTCCTGCATCAACCTGTATCCACGTTCATTCTTACGATGCTACTACGTTAAAGAGATTCTAAAAAATGGACATTTCAAGGTTTGGATGGACAGAGGTTATGGTGGGAAATATGATGGAAAAAGATAGAAAATGCCCGACTGTGTTAGCTGTGAACATCAGTATGTTAAAGGGCTTTTAAATGAAAAGACTATTAAGAAAGAAACTGAATGTTTTAAGTAAACCTACACAATTTTTAAAAATTAGAGCAACCCACACTGCTCGGTGGGAATTAGGGTTAGCCAGCACGGAGGAGCCCCAAGCCCCACAAACCGTGCGCCGGACTGCACACGCGCGGCCTCTTGCGACGGCTCTCAGGACTCGCCCCCGTTAGCACCGGCAGATAACCAAACCGTCAACGCGTTTTCTGATCAAGCTGTAAGATTACTTTAAAAATAAGCAATAAATCACCACTTAAACATGTAGAGTGTATTTTCAAGGCTTTCTTTTTGAACTTTAAGGAATGTGGGCTATAATTCACTCAAGCAGTAATAATGTCCTTTTCCTAAGAAAAACACATCGAATCTTCCTATTAAACCAAACCTATCTCAATGGTAGAAGTGTGAGCTTAACCTTCAGTTTACTTCTACCAACTAAACTGAGTTTATCCTTTTCTATATAGGGCACATAATAAAATTATTGTCCTTTTGTATACAGGAAGAATTGCTTACACATAGGACAAATTCGCATTTTAGGTGCTCAACTACTGCAACTTTCCCTTTGCATTTCTCTTTAAAAGGTAATGTATCAACAAGTGATCAGTTATTTCCTTAACGACAGATACAGCACTTATCGTGAAGGTCTCGAGTGCAGCGACAGCAAGTAATGTTGGCTTTCCTGCTCCTCCCTCCCCATCCAATGCCTGTGATAATTCAAGAGGCTTTGGTGCCAAACCGGGACTTAATACCTTTTCAACCAAATGAATTACGGTGGAAGACTAAACATTCATTATGGGGGCAATAGAAGAGAATATGAAAGAAAGTAGGTAGGGAGGGTTAGGAGAAGGAGGGGAATTATTCTAGTACATTTTCAGGGGTTAACTATTTTGCCCTCACAAGAATATCAAAGTTTCTCAACACTCAAGCTTCTATACTTTTACCTGATATTAAAGCAAAAATGTTAAAATTTACATGAAATAAAGAATGGCCCTTAAAAAACGGGACAACATAAACAAAGTTTATCTCATTTAGAAATGAAATCTGTTAAGTTTCACTGTACTTCCTTTGTGCCCCATATAAAATTCAGTACCTCTTAGCAATTAACTATTGTCCTATAATAAAGCACTTTAATACTCAATTATAGGGTCATCCAAGTCTAACTAGTTCTTGAGACTACTGACATTAATAAACAAAAAATATTTATTTCAATTACCTCCACTATGTATATACAATATATTTAATTTCTTTTTAATTAAGACGTCAACTACAGCAGAGTGCTAAAAATGTTCATATACATAAGCGCATAAAAAAATCGAACTGATGGCAAATTTCAGTAACCACCACGTGTAATTACCTTGGTTAACATTTACTTAAAGAGGCCATTATTATTGGGGTCATTGAAATTAAATCTCAACTTTATTAGTGAGTGCATATGCATGTTATCACCCTATGTAAGCACTTAAGAATTTCTTGGTGAGAACCATAAGACAATGAAAATTTAAGCTACAACTTTCATTTGTTCTCTGAAATTCCAAATACTCTAAAAGCACACTCGGGCTGAATTTTAAAGGTGTTTCTTTTTTATCATCTTTTTACTTAAACTACTGGATCACCGATTTAACAACTGTTGAATAAGTAAACAGTTCACCACCTAAAAGTGAATTTCTTACTAATACTAAAGTTAATTATGCTAATAGCCCTGAAAGTCACTGAGAAAACTAGTAAACTGTATGCTTCTCCAAAACTGAGTGTTCGTTCAATTGCAACTTTGTCCGTTTGGAAGCCTAAGAATATATATTAATATGAATTAACTAATAATTCAAAAAGCCAGTAGTTTAAAAAAAAAACAAATTTAAGATTACCACCAAAGAAAGAAGTAACATTTCTCACACTCTTGTATCACACAGAGACTCAAAGAGTGTGCCTTCACAGCCACGCTTTTAGTCCATCAGAACCCAAAATGGCCCACGCCTGACTGCCTAGCACCTCTTGTTGCAGGGTCTAATGCAGTGGTTCTCAGCCAGGAGTGTGTTCCACCCCCCCAAGGACACGTGGCAATGTCTGGAGACGATCCTGCCGACCGGAAGGGATGCTGCTGCCTGGCTCCCAGGCGCTTCCCAACCCCTGCTGAGAACTCCTGCGTGTACTCTCCACCTGAGTGACAATTACACCCCCTACAAAGAAGTAACCACTGGGAGGGAGCTCGAAAGAATGGGGCCAAATAGCTGTGTCTTCCCACTTCAAGCTGCAGTTTCAAACTGTCCCAGAGCAGAGACCCAGGCAGAGTCCATTAGGCTGGGGGTCAGGGACCTGTGGAGGGTTCCAATGCCAAATGCTAAGAGACAAAAACCCCCGGCTGCTCCAAAGTCAAATATCATGACAGAACAAGATGTCTCCACCTGCCACTGACAACTTAACACAAATCAGTCAAAGGCAAATCTACAAAATGCCCACTGTGTTTTGAAGGGAGATGCAGTGAGAGAAAATGGCAAACAGCCTGGCGGACAGGCCTGGAGTTGCTAAACAAACAGGCTCCAAGAGGCGCCGAGGCGGCGCCCCTCCCAGGGTAGGGGCTGAGAAGGGCAACAAGAGAGTGTTTCAGAGAGCAGAACTCAGGGCCGGCTACGTGGTACCAGGAGGAGGAGAGGCCCTCCGTTATCCCTACAGTGGTCCGCTGACCTCTGTGTCTTATGTCCCTTCTCTCCTTTCCAGGTGGTAATCTGATCCCATGTTATGGGGGTGTCTGAACTCCCCACTTACCACAGGGGGCCAGACCAGGAGAAGAAACAAGAGGCAGTCTGAAAGGGCTGCCCACGCAGTGCGAGACACAGCGACACCCTGCCTGCGGGCCGCTGCACTCTGGGGAAGGAGGGGGTCAAGTGCTCTTTGGCTTTAGATGCGTTAGTGAACAACCACTATGCTAACCATCAACATATCCTGTATCTTTCAAGTTTTCTCCCAAACTTGGGAAGCGGTTATCTGGATTAATCCCCTCCCTCCAACACAGTACAGCTCGTGTTAAGTACACAAGGATACACGTACTCTTTGTATCTCATTTCCTAGTTAATTATTTGCAGTTCTCAAACACCTAAAATGACTCTGACTAGCAATAGTGTTTAAATGCTAAATCTGCCAAGTCTGTTGAAGAGCAGGGAAACTAAAAACACAATGTATATGCACATTCAAAATGTGAACACGTTTATGTTCCTGCTGCTGTCAGAATAGCAATGAACCGGCATATGTAAGACCACAAACAGCGTGCTTCAGGTCAAGAGCCCCACATTTTCCATACCATTTTTGTAAGTAGTCCAGTGCCTCCAGACGAGCACCAATCTCAAAAGTGATTCCAGGACGATTTGGGGGCTTTTTGCTCATCTTGAGATCCTATTCTTCAGTATTCTCTTTTCACTACCTCAAGAGGAAAAAAAAAGTTAGATTCTGATGCATAAAATACAAAATTTTTTAAACAAAATTTTAAAGACATTACAAGAGAAGTTAAAATAACTGCCAAGTTTTTAAGAAATTTGAATGATGATTATCAATACCTCTAGGTGAAGTACTGTACAATTTACAGGCAATCTTGATAACGAATTAAGGAAAAGTCCATTAAAAAATAATGACTTAAAGAGAATAAAGAGATAGGCATTAAAACTAGCTAATGGCTATAGTGCTTTAAATTTTAACTTGGAAAATACCCTCCCCAAAAACAACTGAAAATGCTTTCCTGTCTTTGAAAAATCAAAGACGGCTGAGTACCCTGGAATATAACTATTGACATTCTTAAGAGAACAAATTAGCCAAATATTTCAGCAAATATCTACTGAGCACCTTGTAATACAGAACACTTTGGAAAGACACTGACGCACACAAAGATGGAAGAGGCAACGGACGCGCTCCTCTGCCAGGGAAGACCTGAATGACTCCTTTTGTGATTAGCACTTTTCATTACCTGTGATCCTCCACCTTGGTAGCAAGTTGCAAAGGGAATTTCTTTCTTACACTTCACAATCAATAAGCCACAATGACAGGCACTTTTTTTAACCTGAGCGTTCATTTCTACAACACCTCAGTGCACAGTACCTCTGTCAATTTCAATATTGACAATAACAGTGGTTGCAATGTTCAAACAAAAAAACTACAACTCAGTGTCTCTTCCTCTCTAGGTCACCGCCACGCGGACTATTTATTCTTTTGGCCACACGGGCCACCCAGCACACTTGAGCCTCTTTTTCACTAAGCACCTAGTGCCTGAGTAATAGGAATGCATTTTAAGACAGCTTTATCAAAATATAACAGGTAATCAGGAATGCAAAGGGATCCCTAAAAACCTTTGATATTTACAATCCAACATGACATAATAATGCTCCCTCTCAGTTTAACAAAGAGAACACACATATGTTTAATTTGTTTCTTATGATCTGGTCAAATTGAAAAGGGACAAACAAAACCTAACAACAAACATAAAAACCAACTGTCCTTTACTCTTTGAAAAAATTTTGGTTAAGAAGGGGGAAAATAACATCAATGCTTGTCATAAAAATATGTAAAATCAAACTTAAGTACTCTTAGTTTGGGGGCGGGGAGGTGCGGAGGATAATCCTGCCCCGAAAGCAAGCAAAGGTAGTGCATTAAAGTTAACAGGAAACTGGGCCAGAAGGCTATTTGGTGTAATTGGAACAAAAATATGAGTATTTTTAACAGAGGTCTGGTCAATTTGCAACATATAAGGCAGTTACTTAAATGTTTGTGTAGAGATCTAATCGACGTTTCTACTGTTCATCACAGAAAGAACTTACTAAGGGGTTAAAATTTTCTAGGCTCACGCTTAAAATCCGTAAGAATTACATAGTTAAGATTTATCATTCCCTTTCATACTTCGGTGCGAGTAAACAGAAAAGGCTAGATTTCCTTTTTCTTGGATGGAGAGGGCAGAGTGAGGAGCGATTTGAATTAAGAAAAAGTAAAACGGTGGGGAGCGGGGATACTTGGAGCAAAAAGAGAAAAGAGGACAGAGAAAACGGAGAGGAGGAAAAACACGAAGAAAAGCGAAAAAGACTAGCAAAGGGATGGTTTAAGTTGTGAGAGATGACAACTGGGTAGGAAGAGAAAATGAGCAAGAAGACGCAACCCTGGGAGGTGAAGCACTGGTCCGAGAACGGCCGCGGGGTCACAAAAAAAAAAAAAAAAAAAAAAAAAAAAAAGGTGGGGAGCGGCGCGGGGCGGGCGGAGGGTGGCACGAGACCGACAGGAAAGGCTCAGAAGGGGCCGGCGGGGAGCGGGGGACGCCTCCAGGTTTGACAGCCGTCCGGCCCTCGGCAGGGGGGAAGGAAGGGAGGGGTAAGGGAGCGGCGGCGCCCAGACAATAGGGGCGGCGAGTTCTGGGGAGGGACACAGGAGGGGAGCGGGCTGGAGAGAGACACCAGCGTCGGGGAGTCCCGGGCGGGCGGCCAGGCGGGGCCGGGCGGCCTCCAAGCCCAACTGCCACCGCCTCTTACCGACTCGGCCTCCTGTCCGCACAGCAGTCGGGCCGTCCGGGGCCGAGCCGGGGCACAGGCAGGGCGGCCAGCCCGGGCCTCCGCCACCGCTTCCAACTCCGCCTCCGCCCAGGCAGCGCGGGGAGGGAGCAGGAGCGGACCACACTGGGAACTCTGAGACGGGTCGGGCCCGAGGTCGCGCGGGAGGGAGCAGGTCCGAACCCTCAAGCTCGCTCGGTGTCCGCTGCCATCGCCGCCGCCGTCGCCGCTGCCGCCGCCGGCCAGCCCAGACGCGACGCCGGTCCCCGGCGACGTCAGCCGCCCGCGACGCGCCGGAAGCGGCCCTGGGAGCGTCCGTGACTCGCGAGGGTTGGGCCCGGGCCGCGCAGCCGATTGGAGGGGGGCCCTGGGAGGCGGGGTTTGCGGCGGTTGGCTGACAGCTAGCGGGCGGGGCCGTGGTGAGCGATAGAAGGGACGGGAGCTTGGGGAGCTGTTTGGCAGTAGTGAAGTGTTTGACCTTTGACAGATCGGGGCGAAGCCTGTTAAACATTATTAGTGCTGATTTGATAGAAACTAGGTTCTCACAACTTCTCCACCCCAGCACCTTCAACAAACTTTCTTAAATGCATTACACGCTTTCTTAGATATCCACCCCCTTTCCACATTAACCATAGAGCAAATGGTTACTGGAATAAAGTCAATAAACCTGTGTTGAATGAATACCTTGTGGCAGGCACTGTGCTGTAAGTACATCACATGACAACCACAATCACGCAATTGTATTGCTCCCCATAGTCTAGGAGATCTTTACAATACAAAAGACAGATACAATATTACTAAGACGTTGTGTGTGACTTCCCCAATACTACATAGCTAATGACAACAGAACTACTTTTATTGAATACCTACCATGTCCCAAGCTGTGCCCTAGGCATAAGAGAAAGTGTCCCTACTGTAGAGGAAACCAACAGACGAACACATTCAAAGCAATATTGGAATGAAGCATTTTCTTTTTCCTCTTTCCAGGGAACCACTCCAGCTCTCAGGCTTTCTAAATGCAACATTGCATACAAACAACACTTACATTTATCAAGCTTTGCAGTGCGGAGTTAAAATAGCAAAGCATCTCTCTTTAAGCTTCAATCATAGTGAATTTTGGAAAGTTAAACAACTGTATTCATATCCCTTTATTCAACAGACATTCATTCATCATTATGTTACCAAGAGCTACTGCGCTAGACTGAGCATCGCAATATATAGAAAAGATAAATTAGACAGTCCCTAGTGGACATTTGTCCTCTTGTATTTTGGTTGCCAGCATCTGAACTCCCTTCCCGTGTTTGGTAAATTTCACATTATAGTTACACCATGTATTTCCAGAATCTTCTGGACACATAACAGGATTTTACTTTCCACCCTCCTTAGCATTACATGTACCCATTTAATGATAAACCCAGAACTAACTGCTAATCTACACCTGATATATATATATATATAGTATAAGGGGAAAAAAATAAATATTTGTTGTCTTAATCTGTTTTGAGATGTGGGTGGTTGTATGTTACACAACACAAGCTAACCCAACTGACAGATGCACCCCTCTAATGAGTCTTGATGTCAGAGTCAGCCTTGCACTAAATAAGGTAAAAATGTTAGAAACTCCCATTTCCAGTCTCCATTGCAGCTAAAGGGCTGTTTTTAGCAAGGCTAATTAGACTCTCTAACTGAGGGCTGTGTATAAGATGCAGCTAGTGATGTTCAAAGTAAGGAAAGTTTTCTCCAACAGCCTGGCAGTACAGTGATCGATATCTGACTTTGGACCTAGAGTTAAATAACTGAACCCTGGCAGTATCCCTGCTGCCCCTCAAGCTGGTAAGTGGGAAAAAATAACTGTCTGTTGCTATACATCACTGAAAAGTTAAGGTTGTTTGTAATTTAAATAAAATACATACGTAAAGGATAACATAGATTCTACCCACTTGCCTCTGCTTTTTGAGAATCGACCAATCGACCCTGAAAAAAACATTCTTTCATTTTAATTGAAACTTAACAAGGAACCTCTCCAACAATTCAACTTGAAAAATAAAATGGAAATCATTATGTAAATGATTCCTGGCTTGAGTGCATTGGATAGGTGAGTGTTCTCAATGGAGTTAACGCCATCCCTTAGAGGACACTTCGAGAATAAGGGTGTGTGTATTTTTAGTTGTCACATGATTGGGGAAGGCACAGCTGCAAGTTAATAATGAGGGACCAAGGCTGCTAGACATGCTGAAATGAGCAGTGCAGCCCCGTATCTTTAAGAATTGCCCCAGGCCATGCGTGACTTCTGAATGTCCCTCTGGACATTCATCTAGAGGAAAAAAAACCCCAAAAAACCCTGTTTATAATTGTCTGAGAACAGAACTCGGTTTTACACAGAAGAGCAAATTATCTTTCTAAGGTTTTAATATACACTCCCTTTTCCAGGAATAAAGCTACTGTGGATTATGAGAGAAGATTGTCTTTTTATGAACATTCCCAAGAGTTTATCCCATTTTTAAAAATCATGTCACTAATGACAAAGCTACTCACAGTATTTGAGGCACTAACAGAAAGCACCTGTATTGCTCTGCATTTGTAGCTGTTACATTCAGGGCAAACCTCAATTTAGGTCCAAGGACTTGGCCACTTTATTATGTCTCTTGTGAGTCATGACCAAATGTTTATGAATTGAAATATGTTATTTTTATTATGAATTATTTCCATAAAGTTTGTTCCTATATTATCATTGTAATTTTATTAATTTTTAGAACATACACATTTAAATTATATCAGCTTATATCATCTATGAATTTAATTTCAGAAAAGCACAGTGGATGTTACGTAATATTAACTCCAAAGTGGGAGCATTAAGTCTGATAAGACTGGTTAACTCATGTAGGCTACCCTTGCCTGTTTTGAACATCCAGAATCAAAGATCAGGCTCAAGGTTGGGTTACAAGATACAGAAAAGTCTAGAAATGATCCCCCAACCATGAACTGAAGCTATACATTGCTATGTCCCCTCCCCTCTCTGCCACCCGCACACCCCCATCCACATGGTGAGTGTTAGCCATCAGTCACTCCATCTCTGAATATAGAAAGAAAGAACGTACAGCTGTGTTTGAGCAGAACCAAACAAGCAGTTTGGGCAAATTATCTTGAAACAACAGTCCTTAGGCAGAAATCACTGAACTAAAATTCTCCAACATTAAAATATGAAAATGGAACCACAACATCCCCTGGAACATATAAGAATAGTATACGCCTATTTTAAGGGAAGAAAAAGTCAGTACTAAATACAAGCTATTCCCTGATTACATATAAGAGCAAAAAAGGTATTTTTTGAGTGTTGCTTTAATATTTATAATTAGCATCAATGAACTAAATCAAAGCAATTTCAAAGTTTTGGTTTTTCTTTTAAATAGACTAGTAAACATTTAAACTGCTATAATAGACATCTTTGGCACATCGCTCAATTCCAGGTGCTTAAAATCTTTGGAAATGGCACTAACATCACTTCCTTCACCTGCCAAAGACCTTACTTATCCTGGGTCTCTGTCACCAAATCCTTTTATCAACTGACCGGAAGTGTTAATTATTCCAGAATTAATCTCCAGCAGTTCGACCTCTAGGCCATGTATGAACCTGACAGGGAGATATCATCTCTTTCATCTGTCCACACAATGTCCTGCTCACGGACTCCATTTTGCATTGATTTTGGGCTTTATATTCTGCATTTCTATAATGAGTTAATTCTAGGGTAATAGGATGATCTAGACAACATTGTTTAATTTATTTTTTACTGGAAGTTGATATGCTATTCACAAGCTACTGGGTTTCTGATATTTTTAAAAATTTTAGACATGGCGATATTGATTTTAAAATATCAGTTTCTGCTAATAAAAGCCACAAAATATATACTTATATTTATATGTATATCATATATATGGCTCAGCAAAAGCTTGTAAATGTAGCAAGAGGCCTAAGTGACAAAATACTTCCTTTTTTGTGCAGATTGCCCTGAAGTGGAGTGACCATAAAATATCTCATCCAAGCCTGGATGCTCTTAAGAGTGGAAGAGAGTGCTGTTAATAATCACACCAGAGCAACAGGTGAATTCCTGGGCAGTCCCAGGCAAACTGACACATATGATCATGCTACCTAAACCAGAATGAAATATTAAAGAGAAATCAGGTAAGCATTTCCTAAACGGAAAAGCACTGGATATGGAATCAACACTTGACCTCTCAGTGGATTTTCCCCTTTGCATACCAAGACCAAGGATGGGCTCTTTCAGGCATTCTGTTGATACTTTGCATCTCCTCTGATTTTCATTGTTGGCTGTTTCATCTCCCATGAACTCTCTCAGTGTTTCTCATGTGTTGATCCACCAATCATCTGTATTAGACCTTCCAGGGCTGTTTGTTAAAATGTAAGTTCCTGAGCCCCAACCTATCTGTTGAGTTTGGAGACTGGAGGTCTGCATTTTAAAAGCATCCCTAAATGATTACTATGTACAGGAAAGTTTCAGAACATCTGTTGGGAGTCTTTTGGTTGGATGTGACTGACATTCAATGCAAACAGACTTAAAGGTAAGGGGAATTTATTCATAGAATTAAAAAGGGAAAGGGGATGAGTCTGACTTCTGGGGCAGGGATCAAATTGAAACATCTTTCCCTCTGCTTCCTTTGGTTTGACTTGATTCTCGAGCTGCTCATCTGGGCCCATGAAGGCTTTAGATGTCGTTAGGTAGCCTGATAAAATAAAAACAAGTCCTACAAGTCATTCTCTCATTGGCCTAAATTAAGTCAGGTGCCCAGCTCCGAGCCAAGCATGGTAACCATAGGAATGACTTGTACTAGTTTATCGTGGACCTGAGTCCAGTCCCCAATCAGGCAGGTGGGAGTAGAGACTGGCCCAAACCCCATGGGCTGAGAGATAGGAATGAGTGAGTCCTTTGAGGAAAACTGGGGTGCTGTTATTTAAAAGAAAGAAAACAGAAGCTGGACAACAAAAAGCAACTAAGATCATCACAACTGACATACACCAATGGTAACTGCAAATCCCAATGTGCAGCCATCCAATCAAGCTGAGAGGACTCTTCCTAGTTTGCAGAGCTAGAAAGGCAAACCAAGTGAGAGACAAATCTAGTGAGAGATTGACTTAACATTTACATCCCTGATTCCTTAGGTGCTCGCTTTTAGAGGCAGTCCCTACAAGGCAGAAGCACACTGCAGGGGATTGTTAAACCTGAGGGACGAGGGGTAGGCAAGAGGTCATAACAGGTGTACAAATTAACAGGAACCAAATAGTCAACACTTTTAACCTCTTAGTGATCATTATTTTCCTTGAGAATGAAGCTGACTGCAACTCCATGGTGTCCTCAAATATGACAGACAGTATGCCTGTGTGCATTCTTTCATCATTCATTTGCTTGTTGTCATTCAACCTGAGGTCCCACATAATGCTAGAAAATGGGTGATGCAGAAAGAACAGAGAGAAAAATCAAACGAGGTATCCAACTCTAACGTGACTCGCCGTGATGGCGGGGCGGGGGGTGGAGGGGTGGGTACAGAAGCAACCAAGTACAAGAGAAAGCTAAATGTTAACCCATGTGAAATATAGATAATGTACTAGAGGAGTGTGCTCATTCTGACTCAGCAAATCAAGGAAGACCATGCAAAGGAGGTGGCATATGAAATACGTCTTGAAGGATGAATACACTTCAAATAAGAGTTCTATGCAGACTCCAAAATTATCATTGCCCTATAATTCCTTATAGTTGTGATTCAAGCTCTAACAAATAAAAAACATCATCCTACTTCCATTTCTTTCCCACAAGCATTCATTGAACACCTACAATATGCTTAGGTCTAAGGAGCCTAACAATGAATAAACTCAATTCCTGATCATAAGGCACTTAGCAATGTAGTCAAGGAGATCAACATACCAACGAGTGATTTTGATATAGTATAAGTATCAAAAATCAAAATTGTAAATAACATGCAGGGTGAATGGGGTCCGTATATGTGCTCTAACTTGTCACTTGCAATTTATCCAAGTGTCTGTCCTCTTGATCAGTGCCGGAAAACAGTACCAGCATCTGCCAAGGTAAGTGCCTGACATTCAGATGAAACAATTGCCCCTGTTGGGGAGGGAAGAAGGTTGGTCAGGGGCAGAGGCTGTGGCACCGGTGTTGCCACAGTCCTTGATTTTGCCATAGTAGAAAACATTGAGGCAATGCAACTTTGTGGTCCGGGATTGGATTGCTTCCTCTTTTATATTTTTGCAAATCATTCAACAGAGCCAGCTTTACCAGGCTGAGGGTAAACGCCCTTTGATTTTCATCATTTCTTTCTGTCTTCTTTTTTTTTTTTTGAACAATAGGTGTCGTGAAGATCATAGGAAACTGTAGACTTGAAAGGAATCAAGAGATCAACTTGCTTCACTACTGCTTTTAAATAGCAGCTTAAAATAAGAAAGCACATTAGGGCCAGCAATGTGGACAAGGACCAGGAGTTGTAAATTAGCCCTGATGCTATTACCCGCGTGATCAGGGTAGAGACACTTCCCTGACAATCTTTTCCTCATGGAAAATGGGAATTTTAAATCCACTGCACAGAGTTGTTTTGAGGATTAAATTAGATAGAACAAGACTTACATGTTTGGCAAATTATAATTGATATGCAAATGCTACACGGTTCCTATCATTCCTTTCTCACCCTCCATGGGGATCCCTGTATCAAGCTATTGTCATCTCTGAGGGTCATCCCTTGGTTTCTTTTTTTTCTGATTCCATGAAAACACACATCTTCTGGGGACTTACTTTGTGGGAAGCCCTGCATTTGCTCCTGAGGGTCACAGAGATGACTAAGACACAGTTCTTGTCACCAAGGATATAACTTCTATTAAGATTTTATTATAGGGTTTTCGCTAGATAATCAGTCTCTCTCAATCCTCCTCTACTCCACCCTTCATTTCTCCATCTGTCTCCTTCTCTCTTTCTTTCAAAAAAGTTATTCCCACTGCAATTCATATATGAACCCTGAGCAAATAATAACAACCTATCTGGAGCATTTTGGGGAGACAGTAGCAAGAAATACTGTATAAATCCTAAAAAGACACATTAGCAGCAAAAAAAGTTTGAAATCATCAGTGATGACAAAATCAATCTACAGGCAAACCATAAAAGTACTGCAATGAATCTGTGTGGAAACCTTGAGAGACTTCAATCTTCTGTTGCCATCAGAACATGAGAGACTCCAGCACAATTACCAGGAAGCTCAGTGGGCCACTTTCAATAAATCCCTATCTATCTGGTCTTGCCATTTCTCTGATTTCTGTCTTTTCTTCATATACCACTTGAAATTAAAATATTATGCTCTCCAAATATTTATATATCTTTGTACATATATTTGTCTCTACCCTCACTTGACCTACCAGCAAAACAACACCCAGTATCATTCTGATCTTACAATCGGGTCACAACTCACACTGCCAACATAATGGACTTGTCATAAAACCAAACAGTTTGAAAATTGTTCCAAGACCCGTGCCCATGAATTGCTCATATGACATGTGACAAATACCTAAGAAATGGCTAGTCAAGGTACCAGAGAGAGGTATGTTTCAAAAAAAAAAAAAAAAAGGTAGGTATGAATATGGGCACAGAGAACTGATTGGAATCAAATAGATAAAAAGTTGTTGACTGTTTTTGTATAGCCAGAGATATGCTAGCTTGGTAGCAAAGAAATTATGACAGTTTGAGGCTTCAAAGGACCTCTTCACTTTCTAATTTCTAGGAACAGAAGGTAGCCTGAGATTTGTGGGCATAGGCAGAGTAGCAGGCCTTGAAGGAGGCAGAAGGAGTTTTCTGTCCTCTGCTAGAAGACAGTAGCCAAGTCTGAAAGGAGAAGGAGGAGAAATAAAAGAGCGGGAAGAACAGAAAGAGGAGGAGGAGGAGGAGGAGAGCTATGAATCGCAAGGAAGAGGATCCCAGGCTCCCAGGACAGCGGCAGAGCAGGATGGCTATCTGGTAAACCTAGGCAGCTGTGACTAGGCACAGTCTTGAATAAATGTGCCTGTACTCTAATGATAGCACTAAAGCAGCAGAGACACACTGACCAAGTAGCCCAGAACAGTAGGTGGCTCAGAAGTTCACCTCGGTTAGGACAATGCATTATTAGTTACCTATTGCTGTGTAGAAAGTTCCCCAAAAACTCAGTGTCTGGAAGCCAAGTTTTGTGATCACACGGTGTCAATGGGTCCAGAACCTGAGCAACGCTAAGCGGGCTCCTCTGCTTCTGGGTGTTTCAAGGGCTGCGATTCAAGTGTTCACTGCTGCCGAGCTGGAAGAGGCCCAGCACTCCCGTGGCCGCTGGCTCGGTCGCTGAAGGTCCGTTCCTCACAGGCGTTTGAGACAACTGTCAGCTCCTCACCACACATGTTCCTCCAACCATCAGCCTGTGCAAACCAAGAAGGTAGCAGAGGGCCCAGCAAGACAGAAGCTGCAGCCTTTTGTAGCCTAATCATGGTAGGTTACAACTCACCACTTTTGTCTTATTCTGTATATTAAGGAGAAGTCAGTTTCAGGCCACCCTCAAGGGGCTTACGTGAGAATCCTTGAGGGCCAGCTTTGAAAGCTGCCTACCTCAGGCTCAACAGGCTCTCCTAACAGCTTCGCCTGCCCTGGGGCGGTTCAAGAGAAGATCCTGCCTGTGACATCATCTCAGGGGGAAAGGGGACCCCAAGAAAAAATGAAATTAACTTTTCTGCCAGCCTGTCCAACGGGGGCCTCTGAAGTTGGTTTACAGAAAAAAATAAGAAACACATCTTGCACATCTGGCTGAGGACTCACTTATTTCTCATTTTTTTCTCCAGGCTTTTCTTTGAAATATATTAGTATATAATGACCTTTGTCATTGAGAAAATTGCAGCTCAAATGGGTTAAGTCACAAATCTGTGCACACTGCTAGTATGGAGGACAGAGTTTTGAATCTCAGCCTGTGTAATTCCAAAACCCACTCTCGTTCCGTGACTAAGTGCACCTCAGTGTAGCTTGAACATATATTTCTTTGATCATGTAAAACAGCAGAAACCTGTAAGAACCCACCAAGATCAAGTTCTTTGAGCTCTACTAAAATATAAATCTCAAATGTAAACTGCCACCCATAGATCGTTTCCTGTGAAGCCCACTCTTGGGTGGATCAACATGGTTTCAGAGCAGACATTTCACGAGATCATGCTCCTGGTTTTCGATAGCATTCTAGGTTTAACAGCATCAGTGTATTTTCACTGATTTGAACAAAACACTGCTATGCACTCTATACTGAAAACAGCCAGAAGATGACCAGCGGGAAATGTTGCCTCTCTGAGTTTCTCTCACACACTTGCAGCCAGGGGTGCCGAGTGAGCTCAGGAAAGCATCTCTCGGGTGGCCACGGGGTAGCCAGCTGGCCTGACTCACGGGCCGTACATCCAGGAGACAATCTTGAGTCTTCACCAGGCTCCTCAGCGTGAATGTCACTGATGAGAGCCCCACAGGAAGTGTGACCTCATTCTGCCGCTCAGCCTCTGGTTTCGCAGGCGGTTTTTGAAAGAAAACAAGAGCGGTTTGAAAGCTGACTTTCCCAAGAGCTGTGTGCTCTTCTATTCTAGGAAACAACCCAAAGAACAGGAGGCGGCTGAAGACAAAGCTTCTCTGCAGACGCCTGCACAGGGCAGCGATGCGTGCGGGCGTCTCTTAGGAGGAGGGAAAGATGGGAGTTCCCTTCCTTAGGAGATGTCTGCGCCTGTTGACATTCTGACATTATTTTCAGCTGAAGAACTGCTAAGTCCTGGATTGCTGCACTGACTGTCAGATCCAAGAAGCTTCGTATTTCAGTAACTATTTTATTATCTATCTATTGGAAGAAAGACTGGGAACTCCCTTTGGAAAGAACATGTATGGGCAAATTATTTTTCAAAGCAGATTTGTTGCTTAGAGAGGATCTGTTTCTGGAAAAGTTTTAGAGCTGTAACTGAAGTCTCTTTCAGTGTAACTAATACCCATTTAGCTGTCGGTGTGCAGCCTGTAGCTTGCTACACGTATTTGTAAGATGCAGCCGTACGACCTTGCTTTCTGCCTCAGGACTTGTTAGCTTCAAACTGAACTTAATGCTTGGGAAAAACTAACCTAGGGTAACTTGGGCTGGACATAGTCATATTATATTGATCAAAAATCAAAAGGACAAGTGATGTACTATTACATTACAGCGAAACAAAATTATTTTATATTCCAGACAAATGCAACCTATGAATGTGTACTATGATTTAGAGATCATCCAAGGAATGCCAGAAAGTTCTCACTTATCTGGAGGTATATGTAAGCCAGGATCCATGTTTTCACACAGGTTTTGTATATAACTTATTGGAAGAATCAATCTAGAGCTATGGAATTATCCTGGTTTAATTTCATGTATCACAGCTATAAAAACAATGTATTACTAGTTATCACATTTAAAAAATGCGGATAGAAGTGGCGAATCAGAAAAGCATCTTTAGTTCTACCTTATAAAGCTGTTAGGATGGTGATAGCTACAAAGTTTAATAGCTAACAGAAGGTATATCTCTGTGATGAGTGGTAAATGATCATAGTTTACATAATTCACGCACTCGGATGCTTGTTTAATGTGTAATCGAGAATGTAAATAATATGTTCATGAGAACTGAGTTTTGAAATCTGCCCAGTGGCGTACCATTTTAGTGCAATGCTGCTTACGCAGCTCAGGGACGTCCAGGCTGATAGGAAGTACCGGACAAAAGACCGCTGGCCCCCTCTGTGACCACCTGTCAGTGGTTCTAGGTGTTGGACAAGAGACAGGCACCCGTCCCAAGCACTATTTGAAACTTGATAATGAGGTGGATGTGCTTTGAATGATGAAAATATAAATAAGTTTATCTAGAGGGCTCTAGAACAGATTTCTTAATCAACTAACTCATTTTTATTATTTTATTTTGACTACAAGTCAACCTTTGCAAGTCTAGCCTTCCCAAAGAAAGTGTTGATATTATTTACAGAAAAATATTATTTAGATGCACTGAGCAAGACCATGGAGAATGTCATGCAAAATCCTAGAAGCAGCCCAACCTCAGCGGCCCTTCAATCTGGTCTCCAGCCTTCCATCCTGTATCTCTGTATTATTACAGCATACAGATCTGACTCGTGCAATTAGTAGATGCCATCTGTTTTGGCATCACTTTTCTATTTTTAATATGTAATCCACCTCTTTTTAAAACATCTTTTGCAGAAAATCTGTGAAGTTTGAACAAGCAGCTTTCCCAAAATGTACCGAATATCTCAGCTGATGTCAACACCCGTGGCAAGTAAATGTGGGCGAATTGCTATACGCAATTATCTTCTGAATGATTAGACTTCTTTTAGCAATTTCCTTGCTTTGATTTTGCTGATACTCATACCATTAACCATCTGTCAGTAGCTTGTGCTTCTTAAATGCCAGTGTTCACTTTGGCAATGATTTTGACTTCATTTCTTTCCTTGAGAGAAACTTGGTATTTTTCCTTTTAGTAGAAAAAAAAAATCACCATTTTTTTTTTAGATGCCTGTGTATGAATGTGAAAGGAGATTGTTTATCAGCTACTATTAAGATGCAAAACTGTTTGTCTATAAAAAATACTAAATGATTTTGATAGCTAGTTGCAGAAAATAAGGGAGTAACTTGTTAAAAACGGTAGTGGTTTCAAGTTTCTTCCTTCCTCTTGTCATTTTCTCCCCAATCCTGCTTCTAACCCTCCCTCACACACCTACTATTTTCTCCATATAAGTCAACCAGCCCAAGCTGAACGTCTGAATTCCTTTCTTCACTTAGATATTAATTGTCAGTAATGGAATCAAGTTTCACTAAGCCTGTCTAGTAGAAGTATGCATACCATTTCTGTATAATATAAAATTCTGCTTCAGAGTTTAGAATATTAATTATAGCTTTCCCCAATTAAAATCTGTTGTCACACTTTGGGTTAAACTGGAATGAATAGAAGAATGTTTTTTTTTCCTTAATTAAGAATACTCACAGGCTTCATACATTAGAAAATCATTTATATCAAACAAAATTTTATTTTTTTCTCCACTACTGCCTTCTGCTCATTACTTTACAATAGAAGTGCCTTAAAATGCACTAATGAGAGAAATTCTGAGCAGATGATTGAATTCCACAAATTACTGAGTAAGCTAAAATAACCTGGGCAATTGATTTTGGTTTTCTATAGCTTCACACAAGATGTTCTTTTCCTCCTTGTCATGAGTCAGTTTGATGCTAATGACTTATTATTGCCTCATCCTGCACTAAGGGACCTCGAAAGGAGTGTTGAGCAGGGGAAGAAACAGAAGACAGAAGCCCCTAGAATATTCCTGGCTTCCTGTAGAGGCCTGGTGACAAGTTGTGTTAGTGCTGATTCGCTGGGTGGCTGCGCCAGTTGGCGTCTCCGCTGAGGCTGGACATCAGCTCTCCACACCTTCCTTACCGCCTCCACTGTTTGCATCACGCGTGTGGGTGAGGGGTGATAAATGTCCAGTTCTCTCTCATTTGCTTATGCAGGTTCTTCCGGGTCCGAGAGAAAATATGCTGGAGAGCTGTCTCCCACATGCATTTTCCCAAGGTATTCCATGGGGCTTTTCACAAGAAAAATCAATCAAATTCCCTTCCTATATGCATTATTTTGTTGTATTCCTGGTTTAAAAACATTAATTTTAGGTATCATCCTGTTGAGGATGGGTGTATATTTTCAGTCTTATGCATATACAGAATGAAGACTTGCCTAACCTAATAATGGATTTTGGGGGGGGATGGGGGGGGAGGTGTGAATGTTTAGGCAAAATGTGAATTGTTTTTTGGTTTAGGGAGTGGAGAAACTACTGAATACTGATGTATGGTTACTTTTTCTTAAATTTACATTCTTTTAAATATGATTTTTTTCTGTCTCACTTTACAAGAGCAACAAGATTCTATACCAGCGCGCAAGCTGGCCAGATTTCATATTCCGCTGAAATCCATGGAGTCTACCATTTCATTCAATTTCTGCAGTGAAGTCTCTTTTCCTTTCCTCCTTCCCCTTCCATCCCCTGTATCTCTGTCTGGCTTTCATTCCCTGGGCAGGCACCAGTTGGATCATGCATTGGTATTAGAACCTGCCCATTTTGTAAATTCTAGGCTCCCTGCCTCTATCAACAAACCAGCCGAGAATGAACAAACAGGCCATGTGGAAAGAGGACATGCTTTAGAGTCAGACAGACCAGGGTTCAAATCCTAGCTCTGCCACTTACTAGCTGTGTAAAATATCGAAGTCATTTTTGCCTTTCTGCGTGTCATTTTTTTTTTCCTGCTGCACAATGAAGACAATAATACTTAGCTTTTAGGGAGGTTTGCCAGAACTAGATAAAGAGTGAGATATGGGCCAGGCCCATAGTAATTTTTCAATACTAAATAATATCCATTTAAAATAGTATTACTAAGTTTAATGCATGTGTTAATTATGAATAGGCTTTTAAATTTAAAAATGCTTCAGAAATTCAGTAGAGCATAAGGCTGCCTTTCAATCATAGAGATGTGTGATTGTTTTTTCAAACCTAAGACACATGCAGATTTACTTAACTAAATAGGGGACTTCCCTGGTAGTGAATCAAGAAAGATAACTACACAAACATTTGTGTGGCTGACTTAGAGGGGAACTGGCAAAGGCTAAGGATAAAAAAGATCTCGTTGTCTACATGCTCACCCTAAAACACGTCTGTGTCTGGTGGCTGTGGAGTTATAATTCATCTATTACTATGAGCTCCCAACACCCCAGAAAGGCTGTTCTGCAATTTTCCATCAAGAATAGGTCAATGTCAAGGGTGTAGGTGCATTGCATGGGGAAGAAATGGTGTTTAAAACAGAAAGAAGCACTAAATGTTCTGTCGTTTGTGCTTTCACAGGTAAGAAGATGAAGCCCAGAAATTATACGTGACATTCTTACGAGTTGCAGAATAAGCGGGTAGCCAGGAATAGGAAGAGGGGTTTTCCTTCACTGAGACTAGAGATGTGGATTTTGTGTGACTGCGTGTTCTAAACAGGGACTCCAAGGACTTTCCTTCTTAATCCCGTCACGCTTTTCGCCCAGTCCCCTGACCCCTTCCCTGCTGGCAGCCATCAGTCTGAACTCTGTAACTATCCATCTCTTTCTATTTTCTTTATTCATTGACTTTGTTCTCTAAATTCCACATGTAAATGAAACCATGGCATTTGTCTTTCTCTGTCTGGCTTATTTCACTTAGCCTAATAACCTCTAGGTCCATCCATGCTGTCACAAATGGTAAGGTTTCATTCTTTTTGTGGCCAAGCAATATCCCATTGTACATATCTTTATTCCCTCTTTAGTTTTGCCTGTGAGTTCCTGGATGGTGACAGTTCCTTTGACTGCTGTGCCATAGATCCCCTGACAGGCTCCTACCTTCCCTGTCGCCGAAGTCCCAGGCTCCTCACCAATGGCTACTACATCTGGACAGAAGACAGTTTCCTCTGTGACAGAGAGGGCAACATAACCCTGAACCCATCCCAGACCAGTGTGATGTACAAGGAGAACTCAGTTAAGTACGTAGAAAATATTACACAGGAAAATCAAAAGTCCAATCCATCCACCAATTTATTCATTCATTCATTTGTTCATTCAACACGAAGCCCATTACTTCTCCAGACTGCGGAAACATGAAGGCTAACAAGGGGCAGGTAGAGTTGACATGGAAACAGAAGCGACAAAGTTGCGCAAGTGCTAGGGTAGAAGTCCGAATAGAGCGAAGTGAGGGAAAGGGAAGAAGACCGATCTTACCGAGCAACGTTAAAACAAGCTTCCTAGAGATGATGATGATTGACGTGAATCTTGAGAAAAGTAGGACGTTAATTAAAACAGAAGTGGGAAAGGAGGCTTTGGAGAGAGTCCTGAGCAACCCTGGTATTATTTGAGGAATGGCAGACAGTTTGGTAGAAATATGGCTTATGATGAAAAAGGCTGGTCGCCAAAAGACGGGGCACAGAGGCAGGGGCTAGACGGAGGGGTTACATTCCAGGCTAAGGAGTCTGGGGGCTATTTTGTAAATGAAGAGGAAACATTGAAAGGGTCAGATTTCTCTGTAGCAAGGTAACACCGATTCCAATGTAGAGGATGAACTGTTGGGACTGTGGATGTGTGTGCGCAGTCAAAATCTTTCAGAAAATGCACATAGTCACGCCACACCCACCCCCATCCACAAAGGGACCTAACTTTAGTGACTCCCTTTTGCTTAAACCTTAAATGCCAGCTTCTTCACGTGACATTTGAGGTTTTTCATTATCAGCCTTTTTACCTTTCTAGCCTCATTTCCTAGCATGATCCGATATGGGACCTACTTGTGTCTCAGTGAACAGCTCAGACCACCCTGTGCAGCTCAGAGCTCTGCTCTCTTGCAAAGGCTCCCTGGACTCTGGACTAGCAATGCCCCTCCCGTGCTCCTCCAGCTGGTGCTGGTGATGAGCAGTCACCAGGGGATTCTGTGGGAGCTCACACTCCTTGCCTGGCACAGCGACAGAGTAGAGACCATGGAGCCAGACTGCCAGGATTTGCATCTCAGCTATGACCTCAGACAAGTTACTCAACCTCTTTGTGCCTCAGTTTCTCAATTTGAAAAATGGGGTAACAATGGTACCAATCTCACAAGGCCATTCTGAGGATAATGTGAGTTACTATATGTCAATCACTTAGAAAGACACCTGGCACAGAACAAGCTCTATGACAGCATTAGCTATGTCCGCATTGTTATTGTCTTTCCCCCATACTAAACTGTTTGTGCCCAAGGTTTTGTCATTTGTCTCGGTATCCTTGACATTGGTCCAAGCACCTGGCACACACAGAAACTTAAGAACCTTCTGTGGAATTAGTAGAGGGAACAAACAACATGAGCTTCACTGTGCTCTGTTCATCAAATCACTTTCACTAGATTGTCTGTTTTGAACCTGAGGTGACCGCTGTTCATTATCCACCATGCGACTTTCATTCTTCTCCAGGGTATTTAGAAAGAAAAAGAGAATCCGCCGTTCTTTTGCTTCTCTCTTCAACCTCAGAGCCTCTAAATCTTGGCTGCATGGAAGTATCTTTGGTGATGTCGCCTCTTCCCCAGCTGAGGACGTCTGGTTGGAGGGAGTCAGCCAGCTGGACATGCACCATTGCAACGAAAATGGTGAGTTTGAATCTATTTTTCCACAGTGAGGTATTTCCAAATGGGCAGTAGCAACATTTAGTCCCAGACCAACATAAAATCCAGAGATGATAATCGTTCTGATGGAGAGGATGGGCCACATTGTAAACACTCATCTGAAGTTCTCTCCACAGCACTTATCTGATCCAAATACGTGTGTGTCCCTGTCCTGCAAAACAGCCTGAAATTTAAATGCGTAAATTATTAAGTCAATAAAACCTGGAAAATATTTGCACATCTGCGAGGTAGCTTTTCTGTATGGGATATGGATGGAGAAAGGATCTTGGAATCAGAATTCAAGTCCTAGTTTGGGCACATTGTGATAGTTACTAAACTGTGCTTAATCTCAATTTCCTCATTTTTAAAACAAGCTATGTATGCATAGTATGATAATATATTTATACGTTACAACATATATCAGTATATATGATACTAATATAGGAAATACCCTGTTAAAATATATGCTACATGTTAGATATCTCATATATGTACATTATATAATACATATTGTATAATATTATATGTAAATTTTTATGTATATATAATATACAGGTATATAAAACATAGTAATGGAAACTCAAAGCATATTTTAATATTAAATGGGACAATAAATATCAGGGATAGTTCAATATTTGGGCCTCAATAAGTTATAGTTGTAATTATTTTTTTTACTAGGAGGGAAACAGTGAATATTTACTATGCACCTTCCATCTGCCAGGCACTGCACTAGGTCTGGGGGTACAGGGTGAATAGCAAAAACATAACCTTTGTTTCTAGTTTACTGGGTCAGGGGTGGGGTTTGGGCCTCTGTTAAATAATTGCAGAAACAGATACAAAACAATAATTGTGCTAAGTGCCATGAAGAAAAGTTACATAATGTAATGGGAGATTCACAACGACATGGGACACATATTATTCTACACCCATTTCACAGAAGGGAAAACTAAGGCAGATTAGATGCTTTTCATGGGGCCTCACACCTAGTAAGTAGCACAGGCTGGATTCAAACCCTGGAGTCTTGAGTGCATGCTCACTATGCGACCTCCAGGAAAGACTCTTTAGGCAAAATTTCTCAGGCAGGTAAGCAGAAGAGCATGGCATCACCGAAGAAGAGAATATAAAGAACTGTCTATAGTTGGCCACAAAAAAAGATGAGATGTTGCCATTTGGGACAACATGGATGGATCTTGAGTTCCGTGACAAGTGAAATGTCAGAGGGAAAGGCCTTGTGATTTCACTCATACGTGGAATATAAAACAGAAAGTGACCAATGAGGAAATAAAACAAACATACAAACAAACCATCTCATAGATATAGACATCAGGATGGCGGTTACCAGAGGGGAAGGAGGGAGGGGGAGGATGAGGAGGGTAAAGGGGGTCAAAATACACGGTGACAAGAGGAGACCGGATTCAGGTGGTGAGCACACAATGGCGTATACAGGTGTTGTGTTATAAAGTTGTACACCTCAAATTTACATAATCTCATTAACCAATACTACCCCCATACATTTAATGAAAATAAAAATAGAATTCAGTTTTCAGCCCCATGAAGCTATTTAAAAAAAAGCAATAACAGCCAATGGCGTACAGCTTAATAAAGAGGTTAGTTCAAAAGGCAGAGACAAATGTATTTAAAAAGTAAATAAATTAATTAAAAAATTAAAAAAAAAAACTCAAAAAAAAAAAAAAAAAGAGGTTAGTTCAAGTGTTCTGTAGCCTTAAAGAAGTCTCTGGTAAATAAGTTATGTATGGAACCTTCCATCAGAAGGCCACATAGAGCTGGCTCATCTTACTGACCATCGGCATCCCTGACAGGTTGGCACAAATATGTATGGAAATGAAGAGCACTCATTACTTTTTAATTGAGTTATAATTCACACACCATAAAATTTACCATTTTAACTTGTAGAATTGGGTGACTTTTTAAAATGTTATTTCCAAGGCGCGTTATACCATCATGACCGCTTTCTAATTCTAGAACATTTTCATGATGACAAGAGAAACCGCACAGGCATCATCGGTCACTCCCTATCCCCGCGTGCCCCTCCCAGCCCCTGGCAATCTTAGTCTACTTCCTGTCTCTATGATTCACCTGGGTTGGACTCTCGCACCTTTTCAAGCTGCATCTTCCTCTCCTGAGTAGCTCTGCTGCAGAAGTGGCTGCTTATGCCAACCGGTCTCATGCCTTTGAAAGTTCACATCCCTTGGTTCCAGGATGGCTTTCTGCTGCACAGAGGGCGAGCTGCGTCTCAGTTCTCAAGCAGTGTTTCCCAGGGTTGAGGCTGGGACGGCCCCTGCCTCTAGAACCCAGGGGTGACGAACACAGTCTCACGGTGAGAGAGCAGCCGGACTCCGCTTCCCATCCCTGCGCGATGCTCCCAGAACCAAGGAGGAGGGCTCAGGCTGGAGCCTCGTAGCTCTAAGACTCTTGAACTCTGTCTTTTGTTTTAACAAAGTTCTTTTAGCAAAGGACAAGCTCAGAGTTTCTGCTAAAACAGTATCAGGTACAAATTAAATAAGGTCTCAAGTTCATTGTGCTTATTTTTACATTTATTTTCTCTTTAGGACATTTAAAGGCTTGACAGAAAGTTTCCTTTAAAGAAAAAGGTGAACATGGGACAATTAGAGGAAAAGAGTAAATGGCTAAGGGTAAGCAGGCTCCAGGATACAACAAAAATCGGGGAAATGATGCTTGGACGACTCGAGTCTGGGACTGTCTGTTCTAAAGGCAGAATTTCATAGATATGGAAATTTGCATCTAGTTTTCCCATAGTTGCCTCTTGAAAATAAATATGTCCAAACAATTTTAAAGCAATTGGACCGCAGCAGAGCTGCACATGCATGAGGTATCTTGTTAAAATTTTCACGGTTTCCAAATATCTTCTAAATATAACAAATCAAACCGCCCCCTCCAAAATCAGTCATTAGTCAACCCGCCTGCACACAAGACTTTGAAACCTCTCGTCTCGGCTGTCAGCTGTAATCAAGCCTTCCCCAGACTTCTTTTCCGGATTTACCCAAGGCCTCGTGACTTTGATCAGCAATTTATTTTCCTCTGGAAATGTTGCCTAGTTAGAAGACTCAAGAATTCAAAATCGTTTTTGCTGTTTTCTCTCTGGGCAATGGATGCAATCAAAACTTACTTCCCCCCCGATTTTCTCTTCCTTTTTCAGGCTCAAAAGAAGGTTTTCGCTGTTGCCTATTCTGTTTGTCCTCAGTTCGCCCCTATCACAGCTGTGTCACGACACCTTCCCTTGTTAGCGGCAATTCATTCTCTAGCCAGCTCCCTAAACCCCAAATCTGCAATTGGGGATGCAGCCCAAGAGCCCCGGGAGTCACGCTGCAAATGGACAGAGGACTCACGTGGGAAAGACTGGGCGGGATTTCCTGCTCTATTTCTGCGCGTCCTGAGAAAGGCAAGGTGGCCCCAGGCATGTCACCTCAGCTTGAGGCCTGCGATGTTCTCTAGAGCAAATGGATGCCTCTCCCATGAATTCTTTGATGGGAACTTCTATATGAGGCTTTGAATTTCCTTCTATAGCCAACAGGGATGCCCGCTTTACATGCAAGGGTGTAGAAATGTGCTCAGGAGAATTAGAGTCCTTTCCAAAATAGAAGTAAAGTACACTAAGTCAACCGGGAGGAACAGGAGGAAACTAATACCTTCAAATCTAAGACAAAAGAGCTAACTGTTGAAATGTTTCATGCATTATGATCCTTTTGTTTTTAACATAGGGTGGAGGAAGAAAATTAAATGTCAGTTGGGAAAAGTATAAATTGGGGGCAAAACATGCCTTTTCAGAGATGAAAAATCCTTCATCATTTTTTTAATGTTGAGGGGTTTTTTTGTGTGTGGTTTCCCTCTTAAATGTCATCCCTTCTTTTAGAAAAGTCTGTGAAGTAGTCCAGGATCCCACAAAGGATACAGTTTTTTATTTCACCCACTCACAGTGGCGAAGCTCTCAGTGCAGCAGGGCAGCCTTGGGCAACAGTGCAGGGCTATTTAAATTGTCCTCGCAGCCTCGTCCCCCTCTCTGCAGGTCACAGCGAAGTGCCTCTCAGGAACCCGTAACCAGCTATGTAGTTCCCAGTTCTTTCTCATTCCCATTTTAACTTGACCATATAGCCTCCTCTTTTTTTTTTTTTTAACAGCTTTACAGAGGTATGAGCGATATATGAAGAACTGTACATATTTAATGTGTACGCTCGGCACTTGCTGAATTTAGACAGAGGCAAACACGATACTGTCACCGCAATCATGGTCATGGGCGCCCGACCCTCCAGAGTCTCCCTGTGTCCCTCTGTGGTGCGTTTGCTTGGGTTTCTTTGTTTTTTGTAGTAAGAACATTTAAGTATTGATTTTCTTTGATTTCTTTTTTTATATATTTTATTATTTGTTTTTAGACAGAGGGGAAGGGAGGGAGAAAGAGAGGGAGAGAAACATCCATGTGTGGTTGCCTCTCGCGTGTCCCCTACCGGGGACCTGGCCCACAACCCAGGCAGGTGCCCTGACTGGGAATCAAAATGGCGACCCTTTGGTGTGCAGGCCAGCGCTCGATCCACTGGTCCACAGCAGCCAGGGCTGTAGTAAGAACATTTACCATAATATCTACCTTGTGGACAAATTTTGAAGTGTTTAAAACACTGTATCTTGGCTATTGTAAATAGTGCTGCAGTGACCAACGTCCAGGACCTTCTGTGCCATGTCGTGTGGTCATTACTGGATGGTCTACACTGTTCCGTCTCTGCGGCTTTTTTCTCTATGGTGACCAGCAGGGAGGCTTCTGAGTCAAGTGGCCCCAAGCTGTGGGAGGAGCACTGGGAGAGACCTGCAAGGTTGGCAGGAATTCCAAAAGCACCAGCTCACTGGCTCGGTATCCAGGCTGGGTAGGAGGGCTGGGCCATAAGTCAAGTCAGCCCACCAGCCAGGACCAGGAGTCCACTCCACTTGCTTGAAGCCTTAAGCTCAGGTCAGCTTATAATCTGCCCTCCAAAGGCAGAGAGCAGGGTGCTTTGACAAGACCAAGGGCGATCAGGAAGATACAGAACATGCAGGAGAATAGGGTGTCCTCCCCTTATGCACTAATAGAGCTGCCAGAAGAGCTATACTGGTGCATTAGGATGTTTTCATTTATTATTAAGGGTGGAGAAGGCCGCTGGCACAGTTAGGTCTGCTCTCCCTATAGCAGGGTTTTGCCACTTTGGCTTCACTGACATTTTGGGCAGAACAGTTCTTTGTTGTGAGGCCTGTCCTGTGCATTACAGGCTGTTTGGCAACCTTCCTGGGCTGTATTCACTATGTGCCGGTACCACCCCCTGCCCCCGCCCTGCCAAGCTGCAATAACCAAACATGTCTCCAGACATTGCCACATGCCCCCTGAGGGGAGAAAGGGCCCCATTAGGAAGCCCTGCTGTGTGAGAACCCCAAGCACCCCTTGGAGTTCATAGTCACGTCCAGCTCCCCAAAAGTGGCTGGGATCTCGCAGGTGTCTCACTGCAGAGTGTGCATCTCAACACACACAGCGCCTCCTGTTCCACCCAGACTCCAGGTGGCCCTCAGAAGCCATCTCAGCTCCCGAGTGTGACGCCCGAGGCCCTTTAGGACTTGGCCCCTGCTTAGCAGTCCAGCCGGAATCATCTCCCAGGACAGAGGACATTCACCGCTCCCGTTGGCCCACGTGGGAGAACGTGCTCTTCTGGGAACCCACCCCTTCCTCCGACAGGCCGATGTGTTTCCTCCCCCCACCCCCGGCCCTCTTCTTTCACCCCCTTCCCTCGCTTCTCCCCTCTCCTCCCGCACCCCTTCCTGCTGTCTCTCTGGAAAAACTGCTGCTCAACTTTCAAGGCCTCTTCTGTGGCGCCTCCCTGGATTCCCCAGACAGACAGGCAGGGAGGCTCAGACCCTCTTTCCCAGAGTCGCACTGCATGCGTCCACTGGCCTTCACCGTAGCGATGACCTCGTTGCACCCTCCCTGGGGGCTTGTATGTCTATCCCTCTCCATGCTGAATGGAGCACAACAGTGTCCCTTTGACGACCCGCTCCCAGTCCCTTACAATGCACTGCGTCCTGTTATACCGTAACTCTGCACTGAACCAAGGATCCGACCTGCCTGCCCCACGCCCACAGAGCTTTGCCTCTTGTCCCCTTGCTCCCTGCAATCTCCTCCCACTGGAGTCTCCTCTGGGGATGTCACTCCGGGGCAGCCTCAGTCTTTCCTCTCCCGTTATTACCTTAATCACTTGACCCACTTCCCATGACAGCAATCAAAGCCTTTCTGACTCTCCATGATTTTCTTTCAGAACCACCTGGATTTCTGTCACACATCAAAACCACATCATTTACATTAAGATGCACAGAAGTTGCCTAGGGTGCCCGCCCCCCTCGGAGACGGCCATCACTTCACTGCCTGCGGCAAACGTTCCAAACTCCTCCGCCCAAAGTGTGCGCCTTCTGCGACCTGCCCTCGGTCTAGCTCGCCAGCTTCGTGTCCCACCGGGCGCCTCTGGGTCACTCGGTATCTTTGTTCTAACTGCACTGGCCCAGCTTCCTTCACCGAGCCCTCCTGTCCCTGGCTTCTGCGGGTCTCAGAACTGAAGATCCTTTTCCTCTCCAGCCGTCCAGGGCGATGACAGATGGCGATGCCGTCTCCGCTAGAGACCCGTGTCCCACGCCACTCCAAGGGCGCTGCTATCGCTACGATCGCTAGCGGCAGTGCCGTGAGTCGCTGCACACTCTCACACACATGTGCACACATGCGCACATGGAACCCTTCTGCTTTTCCAGGGGGGGACTGCGACTGTTCTCCGGCAGATGACTGGGAGCCGGAGAAGCCGAAAGCGGAGCCTGTGGAAGCCTCCTCTGCAGGCCATGGCACACCTGCGACGCCCAGAAAAAGCTCCCGCAGCTCGTCCCTGCAGTCCCAGCTGACGGCTTCTGAACATCTCCAAGGGAACGTTTTGGATCATTCGAGTGAGCTGTTTTAAAAATATCTTTGCCACACCCAAACAATTGCTCCTTCCATGGCCCGAGAATGATGTCGAGATTACTAATATGCACTTAGAAACATCGGTCTGTGTCAGGGAGGCTTGGGGTGCAGCCAGCGCCCATGTGATGAATTCACAGAGGAGGTGACTGCTTTTGAGGTGTCACCTTAGAGGCATCAGAAGGACCAGATATGCAGTGTTTTATTTGTTTTTTAAAAACCCCGAAGACATTTGGCAAAATGTTAAGCTTTGCCAAACCTGGGTGGTGCGTACACAGGTGTCTGTTACGTATCTTCTTACTTAGCTGTGTATTTGACATTGTCCACATGAAGAAAAAAAATATATCCTTTAATGCTATGTCCCTGACAAGGAAAAGTCAAAAGATTTAAAGTTATTGAGATTTCCTGTCAGGAGTCGATCTGACCTAGATTCAGCAAGCATTCCCTGCATCTCCAGTTGGCTAATACCGGCTTCATCACGTGTGCACCCAGGGTTGCACTGAGTCTCTGCCATCACCTTGCAAAGGTTCAAAGCCTTGGTCCCCACTTGTTAGCTGTGCCTCAGAAACAATTCGCCGTATCCGCTAACACTTAGCATTTTCCTCTGTAAATGGAGATAATCAGAGTTCCTACCTCACAGTGATGAAAATAATTTGGGTAAAGCACTTAGCATCATGTGTCATGTATACTAAATACAAAAAATGTAAAGCTATGATTACCTAAAATTGAGGTTAAATGGAAAAATATCTTCCCTTTTTTTACACTTACAAAATCACAAAATCATCAATATTCACTCCACTGACCATCTCTTCTTCTCCCAAAGGCCAATATGCCCTGCTTCATATTGGTCCCAGGACAGCTACCAAAAATAGATCTTAAAAAGGGGTTTCTAGTTTCCTGTACAGGTGCTGGGATGAAAGGGGAGCAGCTTTTACTGTTTAGACAGTTTCCAGGTGATCAACACCTGCCAAAGGTCCATAGCCACCTCCTCCAGGGAGCCCACCCTGCGCTTCCGGGGAGGGCGTGTTAAGTGACCCCTCTTTGTGCCACCCGGCTCCCCACGCTCCCTACTCTCATGCCCATTTCCTGCACTGCTGCTGCATGTTTACCTCTGTGTCTCACCCACCGGGCTGGGAGCTCCTCGAGGATGGGCGCTATGTCCTAGTCATCTTGGATTCCACTCTGCCTGCCTTATGCCGGGCTCAGAGTGGGACCTCCATGACTGGGGCGGCCATTGAAGTGTGCTACCTCTGTTTTAATGATAAGAACTCAAGTTCGGACAGGTCAATGAGCCCGTGCACACGTTCTTTGCTCTGTCTGGAATGTGTCTCCCACCTGCTATAGCTGAGGCCCCACCCCCTTCTTTAAGGTGTAAATCAAACAAGATCACCTCTGTGGGGCTTTCTTGTCCCCCTCTGGCTGGCAGAGGTGGTGTTTTGCTTCCCTGGGATTCCCTAGGGCTCTGCATCTATCTCCATCGGAACTATTTTCCTCATCCTTGCCCGGCTATGAAGGCTTGGGTGGACAAGGTCTCCATCCAATTGCATTTTACCTCCTCACATGTGGGTTTGGAGCGTGCAGTCTGTTCCAGGTGACGCTTCCCGTGCTAAGGGTATTGGCACACACGGCATCGTCTGTCAGTCAGGGGTTTTTGAGTTCCAGCAGGTGGAAACCCAACTCAAAGTGCATTATCGGTAACAGAATTTATTGCTTCATAGTAATGACAATTCCAGGCACAGATTTCAGGTGTCTGTCAGTCTCCACTCTCATTGTCTCTTCTCTCTGGTGTCAGCTTTCGTCTGTGGTGGCCCTCCGTGGCTTCGTGCCTACAACTCCCCAGGCCCCTTTCCGCCAGACAAAGAGGACAGCCTTCTGGAGTTAAGTCATGAGTCCCAGTTCCGCTGGTTCTGGAACGATCACATTTATGTGACAAAACCAATCACTGTCAATAAGCATGCAGCACTCCAAATGGCTTGGAGTGGACCAAATGCTGGGCGAGAACTCAGTCTCTCACCTCAGCCAGGAACAAAGAGGAGAGAGGTGATTCCCAAGGGGATTATGGGTCCTGCCACCAAAGAACAGCAAAGAGATGCCAGCTTTTCTTAGTGAGCCTGCAGTCTAGTGGGAAAATACAGAGAAATAAAACAGTGATTTCAACTCATTGTGAAAAGAGAACCAGTGGGGACATGCATGAGCCATGTGTCTTGGCCAAGGGCCAAGGGAGGAGTTGAAGGAATCAAGGATGGCTTCCTGAAGTAGGTCACACTCCGGCCAAGCCAAAACAGGTACTAAGTAAATGGCTACTGAAGGAATGAATCAATGGACACCTTGTCCAAAATCACATAACTCATATCTTTGTAGAACTTGAATTTAAACCCGCTCATCCATTAATATTCAAGTCTAGTGATCTTTGCAGTTTGTCAAGCTAGACTTGTTTCTGTGAGAAAACGTTTTCCAAATCTCACATGACATGAAGGAGGCTAAGAATAGAAACACACTTCAGGAAGATGATTGAGTGTTCGGTTGAACCCACAATAACCTATTAAATGCACAGCGTGCATGAAATAGTGTGCATTTGCCGTGACGTCATTCACGGCTGCTATATTTTGCATTGCCATCTCCAGAGTTTCACCCACAGGATGGACTAAGTGCGCCTGATGTGCTGACTCAGTCTTCCTTCAGAGCATCAATAACAAAAATAAATGCATTCATGGCACAAAGTCATTCCAAGTTTTAAACAACTGTTGAAAAATTGGGCTTTTGAAACATTGGTAAAGATAGGTTCGGGTCTGTCTAGGTGGTAACCCTCAAGCCAGCTCTAATTTCTTTTACGTGATTAGGCTAACACTCGGCTTCGATTGGTTTAACTCGTGCTTATCACGGCTGGAGAATTTGCAGTCAGCTCCACGGTGGCTCCGCAGCAATACTTTACTGATAACAAAGGGTTCTGTGAGGCCAAAGAGCTCATGATGTATATTTCTCTTTTGCCAGTTAGAGACTCTCAGGACGCAAAGTTGCAATTCTCTTTCCCTACTCCATTTCAAGCAAGACATTATGTTCTGGCTAGATGGAGTTTTTAAATCTTGGCTCTGGCCCCTCATAGCTGTGTGACCTTGGACAAATTTCATCATTCCTCTCGGTCTTGGTCTTTTCATTTTCAGAACTTATGATAATGGCTCCTACCTTCTAGGTGTGTTGTGTTGATTAAATGGACGGATGTAGGAAAGCTCTGTGAGTTACAAGGCTCTCTACCAATTCAGGCAACCTCCCCCTCCTCCTCCTCATCATCGTTATCCTTAGATTCCTGATATTAGCATACTTTCTACAAATCCTTTCCCCAGCATTAAAGTAAAAGGCAAGCCCCAAACTGTTTATGTAGCACACTCATTTACTTTTTTTAATGGTAGGAAAAATCTAATCCTTTGCAGTATTTTTCTAGCATTTGATAATATTGCCTTGTCACTTCTGACAAGTTGTTTGGGATGACATACATCTTAAAACTTTTTGTGGTATGTAGAAGGGAAGTTTTAGTATGATTTTGCTGTTCCGACATTATTTAATCACCAATAATGTCTAATCCATTTATTTCTACTTTTCTCATTAGAAACCAGTTTGTTGGGAGAGGTCTCTTTTCCGACAATTCTGCTTGCTGCATGCTTGATCATTTCTGCATGTGCAAGGTAATTCGGGTTTTATTTTCATGCGGTAGTGTTTCATAATTAATGAAGCTGTAATTGATTGATGATTTACTTTCCTTATTCCACAAAGCATTTTGAGGCATCTCTGTGGTTAAGATTTGCTCATTTGTCTATGTGCCCCTTTGTCTGTTACCTCCCACCTCTCATCCTTTTACAAAGCCTGCACAAGTTTGTGCATCTAGCTAGGACCTGGAGTTCACTGTGTGTCATCCTTTGTTTAAATCCTCAGTGACTCTCTGTTCCAGATATAGACTAAGTATCTCTGCCTGGAGTTCGAGAGCACTTAAAGTTCCCACTAGGGGACTCGGAGTCCACCTTTTCCATTATATTTTCGTATCCTAAAATAAAGTAGCTGTTCCAGAGCTGCCTACTCAGCATCTCAGAGCACATATCATGCTCTCGCTTGATCATGACCACATTTGTTCTACCCTCTGTCAAGCATGTCCCTCCTGCCCTTTTCTTGCTCAAGTCTCCAGGCCAGTGATCACGTCCCTTCTGTGCTAAGGCCACTTGTGCCTCAGGGCCTTTGCACGTGCTCTTTGCTCTGCGGCCTAGTAGTCTTCTCCAGAAAGCCTCACGGTGTACGTCCTTCCTGCTTTTCTGGAATCTGTTCCAATGTCACATCGTCAGAGAGCCTTCCCTTGATAACCCTGTACAATAGCACAACGCCTCACTTTACCTCTCTCTAGAGCACGTACTATATGTTCGTTTGTATAAATGTTAACGGTCTATTTCTCCCCATAAGAATGCGAACTCCCTGAGAGCTGAGACACTGTATGTTACCTTCACTACTGTAGCCACAGTGCCAGGGCCTTGTCAGGATGTGTTGAATCAGTGAAACAAGAAGGAACGGTACCGTTCTGGGGTCTTCACAAGTGCTCCTTGCTCTCAGTCCCCGCCTCTTGAGGGGCAAATACCTTATGTCTCTTAGGGGAGTTGTGTTTTCCAATACAAAGTCCTGAATCCCATCCCTGGAGGTACTAATTTAGATCTAGTGAGAATCGGTATTTTAGTATGAGCTTCCCAGATAATTAAGAGGTTTGAGAAGTATTTGTAGATCACCATGGGACCAAAAATGAAAACGGGGGAGATCCTGTAGTTAAAATTCTACCTCATATGCCACTTTGGAGGATCCTATGTGCTTTAGCATGATAGAGCCACAGCGAGAGAGCATAGCAAGGAAGCATGTTCGGCTTTATTTAACTTGGCATTTCCTAACCTGAGTTGATCACGGGACCCTTTCCTTTATTTCGAAGGACTCAGTCAATGTAATATCCTTCTTAGGTTAATTTCTGTATTCCCCCTTAAGAGGGGAACTTAACTCCCTCTCCCCTGAGTGTGAGCTGCCTTTAGAAACTCGCTTCCAAAGAGTAGAATATGGAAAGAGGGGAAAAAGGTAGCTTTACAGCCAAGAAACCTGACAAACACGGCCTCAGATGGTCAAGGTCAAATCAGTGGAGGTTAGTTGTGTTGACAGCACATACTCTTGATACGATGTGATAAGAATGGCACCTCACCTCTGTGGTTCCAAACCCCAGTCTAAGTTCAAGAAAAACCCAAAGTGAGGGACATTCTATATGTGATTTGGCAAGTAGTCCTCAAGACTGGCAAGTCATCAAAGCCAAGGAGAGTGTGAGAAATTGTCACAGCCCAAAGGATCCCTAAGGAGACATGATGACGAACTGTACCGGGGTGTCCTGGATGGGATCTGGGAACATGGATATATTAGGGAGAACCATGAAGTCCAAATGAGGTGTGGGATAAATGAACAGCAAAGCACCATTCTTGGTTCCTTAACTACGACAAATGTGCCCTGTATTTTAAGATGCTAATAATAGGACAAGCTGGATGAGGGGTATAGGAGAACCCTCTGTACTATTTTTTGCTACTTCTCTGTATACCTAAAGTTACTGTAATGTAAGATGGTTATTTAAGTAAATAATTGGTTAAAAAAAAGAACTATTCATGTGGGCAACAGCACAGATGGACTTCATAGTATTATGTAAGTGAAATATGACAGACACATGAGTTTGTATGTTTGCATATACATACAAAATTCAAGAGAAAGCAAATGAATCCGTTATTGTAGATGCAAGAATGGTGACTAATTAGGGCGCCTAGAGTGGAATGGGACCACAAAGGGAACCGTACAGGGTGCTGGGAATAGTCTATATCTTGATTTGTGTAGCAGTTACAGGGCTTCAGGTAAAAAAAAAAAAACCCTAAAACCAACATAGGTGCTTTATATGCTTTAGTGTGCCTTTCTGAAAGTGTAATTTCAATGCATAATTTAAAATTAAATTAAATAACTTAAAGCGAAAACTCTCAATTTAAAAATGCATCTAAAGAGGTGTCTAAATGGATACTCATCAGATTTGCATAATGGTTGCTTCAGGGTGGTGGGATTTATGATGTTTTCCTTTCCCTTTTTGTGTTTATTTGTAATCTTTCAATAATTCATAGTTTGAACACAAAAACAAGAAAAACGTTATTATTTAAAAAAATAAATCCACTCTGTGATACAGTCGCTCATCCGATTGGCAAACCCCCCAATGCTTAACACACTTTTGGGGCAGTAGGCACACAGATTTTCTCTTTTGTTTTTTTTTTTCCTAGAGGTTTTATACTTTTGTGGTTTATATTTCAGCCTGTGACTCATTTGGAGTTGAATTTTGTGTTAAGGAGTGACTTACACATGCCTTTTCATTCTTTGTCCCTGAATATACAATTGTTTCAATACCATTTGTTGAAAAGACTCCTTTCTCCACTGAATTGCTTTTGCAACTTTGTTAAAAATCACTTAACTGTCTCTGATGGGCCTTTCTCTGGCCTCTCTCTCCTTTTCCTTTGGTCTGTATTCCTATCATTTTGTCAAGACCACACTGTCTTTATTACTGTAGTTTTATACAATAGTATTGATGAATCTTAACATCACATGTCTATAGTTAGTTAGTTTAAAAGAACATCTCATGTGCTGGCAATGCCTTAATGAGGCTGCTAACCCTGAGCTCTCTTGTTGCAGATGGTTCCTGGGAGGGATGTTAGCCAGCGTCTTCACCTGCTCCTGCCTGATAACTGTTGCTTGTAAGTAACCGTTTCCCAAACGACTACTTGGATTCCTGTGTTTCAAGCCAATTTTGGTCATTTTCATATATTTTCTCTTTCTCATCCAAGATGTTGTCAAGTTACTGTTTCTCAGCATTGCCAGCTTCTTCAAAGCCACCCCCTGTGCTAGGTGAGTGTCGCCTGTGTTGTCATCATCTAGACAAAGATGACCGTGATCCGAACTCTGAGACTTTGTGCTGAGTAATGATGACAACAGCTACATCCAGGAAAGGCCCAGCTCGTTTGTCCTGGAACAGGCTTTCTGTTACCACTGAAACCCAATACTGTTATCATCCTGTGTCTAAATTCCTCAGTCAAAATAGAGAGAATTCATTTTTAAGGCAGCGGGACTTGGGAAGTAATGTGAATTTTAAATTTTTAAATAGTATTAAAGGTCTTTTATAGACTCATAGCACTGCATTTTAACAATACCTCATATTAGGAGGACTTGTTCCTATAGTTTCCCAAATAACCGGCAAACTGCCCACGAAATGATCTGTTACGAATGGCGGAGCCTCCGCTGTCTCTCAGGCACTTAGCAGTCCCCCTGCAGGCTGACTGCAACGCTTTAGCGTATTTCAAAGGGTGACTGGGGTCTGGGTGAGAGGCTCCCAGAATTTCAAGCAGCCCGCAGAGCACCGACCGCTGCAAGATGGATTGTGTTAATTACCTTCCCTTCAACATGGCAACCAGAGGCTGACCCCCAGAGCTGGGAGACTGAGGTGTGTAATTCAGAACAGCTGCAAGCCTTAGCTTTTGCACCGTGTTGCTCTGTTTAGGAAATCTTTGTTAATTCTGAAATCACAGTGACGCCGAAGGAAGATTTGTTTTGTTTAGGACTCCAGCTGATATTGATTTACTGACACTTTGAGTGATGTGTCCCTTAGTTTCCTAGCATTCCAGGTTTCTGGGCACAGGCATTACTGTGGCTAAGTTTTGCTTAATCTGATAGTTAGGAAATTGGGTCCTGAGGCCACCTGAGAGCGAAATCCTTATTCTTTAGCCCTTGTAAATGAATGACATTTGTTCAAAGCTCTTCTAAGTGAGGCGCCCCCTCCCCGGGACGGCGGGTCGCTCTCCACCTCACATGCCATTAACTACAGGCCTGCATGTGTGTTCAGCTTTATGGGCAAGGATGTTGCCCTAGTCAGGACTGGCGTAACCGATAGTGTCTGAACAAAAGGTTCTCACCCAAAGAGTGATGTTGTAACCCAGCTTTCAGATATGAAAACATAATTGTTTGTCAGATGGTGTGAATTGTATACGTCCATTCTCTGTGGGTTGGAAGAACATTAACCTGGATGCACAATTAATCTGGAAGACAAGTATCATGGGGTTAGGAAGCTCTGCAATGAGGGTAGAGCTTCTCAGAATGTGCCATGGCGGCCAACTCTCTGGAATCAACTGGGGAGCTTGTTTAAAGAGCAGATTTATGTCTCTGATCCCAAACTCCTGGGGTGTCTCCATTTTCAACAGCCTCTCCAGGTAATTCTTTGTATGTGAACTATGAAAATCTTGGAAAGATGCTTGGTAAAACCCTAAAGTGGCCTCACTTAACCCACTAAATCTTTGTTGGGGACTTCCATGCTGTGTGGTACTAGATACCCAGTTCTGCTCAGCAGATGTTTATGGTCTCTACCAAGGGTCAGATACTGTCGCTAGGTGACAAGGTTGCATGCCAAGACCTCGAGAATTCAGAGTCCAATGACAAGAACATGGAAGGGGCACAGTGAAGTTGTCTTTTAACTATGGAATACGGGAGGGGCAAGCATAAAGTTAGCCCAGAGGCTATGGAGACAGGGCAGGGGGACGGTTTCCAGGCTAGGAGTGGTGGGGAGTGTGGGCAGGGAAGGCTTCTGGGAAGAGCCAGCACCCAACCTGGTGCTCTGAGGGCACCGCTGGCTATTCTGAGCTCCTTATTTGTTCTCTCCTGAAAGTAATTAGGTCAGGACCACGATGCCATCTCCTTCAGAACCACTCTCACCTACAGCCTCGTTTCTGGAGTGAGATCGCTTCTGTGATCATTTGTGTGCATATGAACCTGTTCTCTTGTTCCCTCTCCATTTTTACCTATTCCCTGCCCACCACATATGCACATACTCTTGCATTTCAGACCTATGAAAACAAGGACTTTTGACGTCCTTTTTGTATCCATCTCAATGCCTTGAAAATAGTGCACATGCCATAAATATTCATTAAATTGAATGTACTCACTGCATCATTTCTTATTATAGCCATGGGCTCTGTGCCTATATAGCAGAGACTTTGCAACCCTCTCCCTCACATAGAAACTAATGAGCCAGAGACACGGTAATGACCATCAAGAGTCAAGAATGACTCATAATGGTCTCTTTCAACCATTAAGGATGAGGATCGGAGGGGGCAGGGCACAGACTCTGAATCCAGTTCCACAGACTTTGATGGAGGAGCCCTCTCACACCTGCCCTGCAGTCTGCATACCTTGCTAGGTGCCCGCCCTTTAGCACTTTATGCTTCTCAAGTCACATCCCTTTTCATCCCACAATGCAATTCTCATTCAACCATCTTCTTTGTTCAAACTTAAAGTCTGTGGGTTTGGGACTGTCTTCATGGCTCACCATTAACCAGAGTGTCCCTTTCAAATGAAGGTCATCACAAGTATCCCACGTGGCAGTGATGTGTTAGCATCAGCAGTCTCTGCATTTTGCAAATTTATGGTTTTAGGGTAACAAAACAGCTAACATATGTTCTCTCTGTGCTTACGTGCAGGAAGTATGTTTACAAAGTTGGTGAACAAATGAATGAACTGTAGGGTGTGAAAACATGGGGAAAACCCACTTGCCACCCTATAGGATTTCTGCGGTAGAGGAGGTGGAGAGAGAGAAAGCAATATGAAAGGCTACCGAACTAAGTCCCAGGCTGAAACTGGGGGCAAAACCTCTGTAGCCTGTCTGAGGAAAGGGACAGAACTGAGACCTGCTAAGGCAAGGACAAAAAACACCAAGTTGCTTGGAGTTGAAGCTCCACTTCCCTCGTTATGATTATTCAAGATAGTTTGTCGGTGTGTGTGCACACGTGCGTGTGTGTGCGGTGATTAGCATAGCGCCGCATTTCCTGTGCATGTAGATGAATTATGCATTTCCTTTCTCCTTTTTCTGATCTAGGTTTGCCAAAATTTGACAACCATTCAGTAGAGCCTCTGATGAATGTCTTCAATCTGAATATCCGGAAATGGTCCGATTCGCCGTCTGCTTGGAATCAACTGCTTTTATTGGAAGGGAGCGAGCACTGGATACTTGAGAAGCTCCATTTTAATTTGGTTATGTGATAATTTTAAAAATCCCAGTTTTGCCCTCACGATATGTTCATGAACATAGCATCAATTCATCTTCCCCTTGCAGACACGAGCAGGGGAAAGGGAAACGTGGCAGAACGTACCACGCAGGAAGATATTGTCCTATTATTCCCTAAGGCCAGGGTGCTCACACATGGCCTTTCATTAGAGAACTTTAGGGGAAGCTTGTAACAGTGCAGATTCCTGGACCTGCCTGCGTGGACAAGCCTTTGCTCAACTGCAATAGCTGAATAAGGAAAGCAAGCTTCTATAACCAATACCAATGTGAAAGTAAATAAATGCGGTTTATACTTAAAATATAACATAGAAAAACTCATTCTTTTTCCTGAAGGAGCGGCTCAATATTTGGTATTGATGGGAGATAATGGTTGATGGAAAATGGGCAGGACAGAGCCATTTTTGGGAAGGTATATTCTTCTTTTGAACCATTTTCTTTATGACATTTTCAACCTTCTTGGGACTCCTGTGTACCTTTCAATAAAACTGCAGTTAAGATTTAACGCAGAAAAATTCCTTGAGGGAAATACAACAATGGTGTGGTTGCAAAATCAATTATGAGTTGTAGAAGATGCTGCTTCCCCACCCCTCTTGCTTGGGATATGTTCCCGAATGTGTCTTGCAATTCAAATTTGTCCTACATGATATTCTCTGAGTAGAAACTTGTGTGGAGAAATTTGTCTTTGCTTAAAATGGTCATGTCAAAATATCACTTCGTACGTTATTGGCACCTCGTGCATTTTGGGTTGAAAATGGGTTATACTAATAATAAATGGGGGCAACGGCAAGTTATGCATACGTGGTGCAACATGAGCCGTCACTCAGGAAAGTTGTTCAGTGCACACTGTATTAGCTTCTTACATCTGCTGTAACAGCTGACCGCAAGCCAGGGGCCTAAACAACACGCATTGATTGTTCTACATTTCCGGAGGTCGGAAGCCGAGATCAAGACTTCGGCAGCACTGTTTTCTCTCTGGAGGCTTCAGGGAAGCAGATTGTTCCTGCCGCGCTCTCCTGGCTTCCTGGCTTCGGGCATGCTATTCCCGTGTCCACGTCGCCCTCCCCTGTCTGTCCCTCTTGGAAACTTGTCACCCTTCTAGAGTCCCCTCAGCCCTCACTGCCACTAGTGAAGCTTTTCTTGAGTCCTGAGGTTGTTTGAGAGATTTCCTCTCTGCTGCTGTGCCCTTGACCACAGCTCCTTCAGGACATTTCTAAGGGACTGTAATTCTGGTTTGTTTCTCCAGCTGTTCATCTCCTTCCGGCCACTAACTTTACACAGGGCTAAATATGGAATAGGTCTTCAAAAAAACTGAATTGACTGTGGGAGTGGGGCGTGGGGGTGGGATGGGTGGAGGAAGGTGAAGGGGTAACAACTGTAATAGAATAAACATGATTTATAAATTAAAAAATAAAATAAAGGAAAAAAAATAGTTGTTGACTGCATCTAAAGACCACGTGATCAGCGCTGACCCAGGCTCATCCAGGTCTTCACGGCCTCTGCTCTTCTGTTACTACCGAATACCTAGAATTTCTACCCAAGTGTTTTCTGGAGTATCCAATGTGATCAGGCTGGAGCTTTTGCTCTGGAGGGTGAAGCGCCAGGCAAAATGATCGGGCAGCCATTGGTGTGCACGCTAGGGCAGAATTTGGGTAGGATTCAGGTTCACGTTTTAACTCTCCTGATTCTCAAAGAGGCTGGGGTTTGATTGCCTGCTGATTTTGCTGTCTCTTGTCGTTTGTTTAATTTTAGTGGGGAAGATGCATTAGCCATATTTGCCCTAAGGTTTTCTACAAAACATTCCTAACCTTTAAATGCATCGGGGCATCCTCGTTCCTCACTCAGACTACCTGAACCTTCAGGAAAGCCGTGGCACCTTGTCTGTGTGGGAAACTGCTGACTTTGGAGGAAGACATGCAGCTGCTCCCTCTCTGCTGGTGGAAAGACCTTCCTCAGTGGGGAAGCCCGTAGCCTTGGCTTCCCAGCAGCTACTAGTCAGTCCAGGTCAGCTGCTGTGTGCTTTATGGCGCATAGGCATCTTGGTTCCCTTCTCTCCTCTGCTGGCAACCTTCCAGACCTGGAGCCTGCCAGGAGGCCTGCACTCTGTTGGCAGCCTGGTCAGAGGTGGCCCATGTCCCCTCCAACAGCATCGCTGACTTAGTGTACAAAAAGCGAGGGCTGATGGGGGAGGAAAAAACGCAGATTGACTACTTTCACTCTGCTGTTTCAAGTTGGCACGTGGACAAAGCAACTGTGATTTTTTAAGCTTCATTTAAAACTTTGCGAAGAGGTAAAAATTGCTTGGGCGTTGGAAGGAACCCAGAGCTGAAATTGAATCCTGCTCACCACTTACTTGGTGAAGTTCTTTAACATCTTTGAGTCCCAGTTGCTTTATGTACAAAATAGAGATGAGAATTCCTACTTTTCACGGTTGTTCTGAAGATCACTGAGAAGGTGTTTGGGGGGGGGGTAGCTCTACTCCCCTCCCCGTAATATCTGTAGGACTCACCTGTTTCTGAGTAACAGTGTTAGCACGGACTTAGCAGCTTGACACAGCTCCCATGCACTATCCCACGGTTTCTGTGGGTCAGCAGACTGACACAGCTTAGTTGGGACTCCTGACGGCTGCAATCAAGGGGCCAGCAAGGACTGGGGGAAGGTTGCCCTTCCGAGCGCACGTGGTGGATAGGACAGCTCAGTTCCTGTGACCCAGAGCTAAGGCCTTCCCCAGTTGAGCCTTCAGATGAGAGCCCATACTGGACGTGTCCTGTTCTCAGAGAACCCAGTGAAGTTGTTTCTAGACTCCCGGACCACAGGAACTATGAGAGGATAAACGTGCAACCTAAGCCGCTGGGTTTGTGCTAAGATTGTGACGCAGCGAGAGATAACACAATACCCATGAATTCTCTACCAAGTTATTTTATGAGGGTGTAATGCAAGTAAAAGCTGTATGTTGCTCTGCAAAATGACTTCAGAACAAGTCCCCTCACAGCTTTCTGGAGCCAGTCTGCTGCCCCTGAGCCTGGCCACTGAGAGCGGCTATTCCAACCTTGAACTCCTGGGCTCCCCCCATGACAGTGGAGCAGAGAGTCTGACCGCTGGCATGTGCGCCGTCAGGAAAGCCTGCTCTTCACGGGTGTCAGCCTTGTGCTGATGGCCAGCCCGACTCCTCCAAGGATCCCCGTCATCAGTGCAGCCCCACAGCGGGCAGCATGGTCGTGGAGAACAAGGTCTGTAGCGCACAATAAATCGCCCACTCCCTGTGGATGACGGCCCTTGCTGAAGTGTATCGTACTAGTCGGAATATTACCTTAGGGTGTGCATTTGATCCTATAGTCTCCTTTACTCATTCATTCAGTAAATACATATTTAGTCCCTACCGCGTGCCAAGAGCCAGTCTGGCTCCTGGGGATATAACAGTGAAGAAGACAGATAAGGTTTCTGCTCTCATGAGCTTGAATGTTTATGAAGCTTCCCTTCAACTAAGAAATAGGCAAAAGAGCCATTTAAATTTTTTTAATGGTTAAAACAATGTAAATACAGGAAACAATGTAAAACAAATACGTAATTTATTAAATTAGTATGAGGCAAATGCCTTTGTAAGAGCCAAACATGAGAAGAGAGAGCAAGCAATGCTAGTACCTACACCAGGGACGCTCCAGCCGGCCCCCACCCCACGCCCTCAGCCTCAGACTAACACTGTCCTGGTTTTTATGGTAATCGCTTCCACATCCCTCTTCGGAGTGTTAACACCAGTGTTTACTCCTAAATAGCATAGTATAACTCTGCCTGTTTTTTTGTATGTCTTTTGGGGGTCTTTTTAATGTAAAGATTCTCCCACCCACTCTCTCCCTACTTTTGAAGTTTGTTTCCTGTGGAAATTGGGTCTTTTGTCCTGTATGTTTCCACAATTGGAATCTTGCTGATTGCGTTGCTCGGTAAAGATTAGTGTTTTGCTCAGTCCTCTGTATTTCCTGCCAAAGAGTAGTTGATTATAGGGGCTTAATAAGTTGCAGTTTTGACATTTTTTTGGGGGGGGGTACAACTGCTTCATAGGTGATGTCGTATTTCTTATCAAGAGACACATATCAAGAGAGAATATGTCTTGTGCTGTCAGCAGCCACTTCTGTTCAATGCTCAGATCCTTAATTCAATAGGGGCTAAAAACTGGTAATATCCCCATTTGCTCATTTCTTCATTTTTCTGCTTGGCTACGTCTTTATGGAGAAATATCTGCCATCTAATTACCCAGTAGTTCAGCTTTTATAGATAGGAAAAGAAGGGTGAATGTTTGAGTCGTTCCCTTTATTTATAATTTTCAAAACAAAGAGTTAGTTCCTTAGCATCTTTCAAAAAGGACCAGGATACTATTTTTTTTTTTTTTTAGCATTTTTAAAGACATTACTTTTTAGAGGAGTTTTAGATTTAAAGGAAATTGAGAGTAAGATACAAAGACTTCCCATATGCTCCTATCTCCCTGCATGCATAGCCTTCCCCTTTATCACCGTCTGTACAGAACGGTACAGTTTATTTTTTTAAACAAGAAATGAACTGAAATTCATTACAGTAGGTAGTTATTAACAAAGGAAAGGAGCAAATGGAATCACATATTAACCCTGTTTAAGTCCAGAAGCCACAGCTTCCAGACCCCCCAGGGGTTAACCGCATTGCCCTACCAGGGGGATTAGGATCCTTCTGTCCCCCTGAGAGGAAGGAGCAGCTTTCCAATCTCCCCAGGGAACAACTGGCCTGTTAGCCATGACTATGGTGAGGTTGGGGGTGGAGGTGTGGATAAAAGAGTAAGGGGCAAGTTTCTTTGCTGGGAGCACGTGCAGTCAAGATGGCACACGGGGAGGTAAGCGCATGGCCAACAGAAGCCAGATGACTAAGCAGAACTTAAAGGCATGTGCGGCAGGAGCCAAAATGGTGTCATAAGC